AAGTTTTACCGAAGCATAACCTCAGATTTGATATACAGCAAAACAAGGAAGCAAAAAGAGAAAATGTACATGCCACTTCAAAAACCTACTGCTTCACATGCCATTTCCTATATGCAGTCCCTTCTATTAAGGAACTTCTGATATGTATATACATCTTCCTAAGTATGTGTAAACTGATGCACTTACGCCCAATGCACATCCCTTTTTGGTCATAAGAAGATACAACCTCAAGAAGGAAATCACTCTGCAGAAGTCACTTGTTTGCAGCACAGTAGTATCAAGTGGGCCCTCAAATTCTGATTTGGGCTTGGTAGCCAGTGACACCTTCTGTTCTACAGAAACAAAGAACCACCATTTTGTACCCACAGCCCAGTAAAAAATGAAGCAGAGGTGAAGTAGCAGATTGGGTACTCACAGTGTCAGGCCAAAATGGACAAAAGCTCTATCATAATATGGTGCAGAAAGCCTGATACTGTAGGATCAGCTTTACACTTATGGTGGGATCCTAAATTCAGGAAACTATGTTGCAAGTCTCCTCCCCTCATAAACCTTAGATACGCTAATGTGTGATTGCCCAGAAGCTTCTCTTGGTACACTTTAGATATGTAAATATTTGTCAGTCCTGAAAGTTCCTCTTCTGGTTGTTTGTCTTAATCCATTCAACCATTTTTGTTTTATTCTCCTGTGTCTTAGTAAACTGTCTAAATGATCCCCCACCTTCCTCCAAACTGTGTATGTAACTGAGTTTTATAAAAGCATGTTTCACAGACTGCATATCGGTAGTCCCTTCAGGTGCTAGCCACATCCTGCATGTATTTCCTGTATGTCTGAATAAACTGCACATGTTCTTTTGATTGTGCACCCCCACCATACCTACTTGGTCTGGTTTTCTTCTCAATAGCAACCTCTTCCCTCCCACTCAAGCTACTGACGCTGCATCTCAGCACAAGATGCAGCCTTCTAAATTTTGATATAGTCATTATTTGCATCTCTGTTGTGGCGTTAGCTTGCAAATATTACTCTTGCAACAAGAGTATCCTGGAAGCTTTTCCCACTAGTGGCCAGAATTTAATTTCTAGTCACATATAACAACCATATTTGTGGGCCCCTAATTAAATTGTACTTGATTCAAATGAAACTCATTAGAATCTATAACCTATATCTTGTACTCAAAGCTTCAACTATATCCTACAACATGTCCTGTTTGACTTGGCAAGTACCACAAAATCTTGATCCATTCTACCAGCCAATTCTAAGCAGCCAATAACAGAGTAAGAATGCGAAATAAAACAAATGCGCAGAGGAATCACAGATCAGCATACCTCCATTTACCCTACTGTTTCTGCTTGGATGAACACCCATACCACATCATATACTTCCAATCTCTGTAGAACATCTAGTAAAACTTCAGGCTTCTTTTATACAAATATTTGTTGATTAAAATACATTTTATAAGCTTTTTCAATATGGTACCTAAAGTTATCAAAATGTGTATATTTTAAGGTCCCATTTTAATAGCGTATCTATGTTTCTTTTGCAACAAGTAAGTAAAGGTAAGCAGTGGGTTGAAGAATGCTTACTTAGATTGTCATTATAATAATGTCATTATTTTTGAATCCCAATTTAACTTTTACAGCATACTTATTTCCTATTGGATTTTATACCAGATAGACAGAAATGGCTGTTTAGTGGGAAACCAACTATGTGAATCGGTTAAGAGATGTCTACCTCTTATTCAGATACTTGCTGTTTGCCAAGCATGTCACCCAATGTTCACCAATGGGAGGCATGCATCTCTACTATAAGCAACAATACAAATACAAAGTTTGTTAAAAAAATTGTTTGTCCAACCAATTTCTAAGGTACCCAGATTTAATATTAACTTAAGATGTACCAGCTTTTCAGAGCATTTTCTAATAAACTAGATTCAGAGTTAAGTGTAGCATTGCTGAAGACTGTTTTCACTTATCACACTATATTCATCATTTGATTGTGTCTGTTTATTTCAGGGGAGGGGAATCAACACCACTTTTATTTTTATTCTGTCTCTGCCTTTTGACCCTTCTTGTTAGGCATGTGAGCTCAATATGTGGGGTAAAAGAGTACTTTCTAAAGCAAAAATACATCTCATACTAGCAACTGCTAGCGATGGCTATTTTTCAGAAGCAGTCTGCTTTTCATAGGCTATAGAAATGTGGTATGTCATCTATGTCAGCCTTTCCCAACCTTATACCTTTCAAGTGTTTTGCATTACAACTTCCCTCATCCCCAACTATTATCCATGATGGCTGGTGCTGAGTTGTAGTTCAAAACATCTGGATGGCACTAGTTTGCACTTTATTCTTGAGAAACAAAACAGTTTTTACCTGTACCATGGAAATATTAAGATTTGTAGTTTATGGAATGCTTTTGAAATCAAAATGTCTAGAAGAATATCATTTACATTCTGTATTCTAATGCAGCACAGCATATTTTTGTATCAGTTTTAATTTCCTGTACATAATTTTATTTCCCTGTTGCTACCAATTAGCATACTTGTCTTTAAGATCAAAACAGAAGATTAAAAATGCAGCATGTTTGACTTCTAAATATTACATAATACCCACATCCACCAGCTTCAAGTCAGAAGTTTTGGATCACACAGTTCTGTTCAGTATCATTTATTTCTGCTTCAGGAAACTGGAAGCTCAGACTCTTCAACCCCCTATGGTTTTCCCAGCCACATACTTGAGAGATGCACATTCCTTTGAGTAAGTTTTCAGTGTTAGAGGAAGTCATTGGGTATAAGAATTCAAAAGGAGCCAATAAGTATAAATACAATGCAATAGATAAAGGAGCTTTAGGCAGAAAGTTAAAAAGCAGTGGCTTCCAAATGATGCTTTATTTCCATTTTAAAGGAGACACAGGGAAGCCTTTAAAAATCCTTATTGCTCCTTATGAAGCAAAGAAATTAAATCTCACACACAGGTGTGTACATGAAGACTTATCAAGACACTGTATTTATGAAATCCAAACAACCCATTCACAATAATGACATTTTGATTGCTAATACAAATGCAGGAGTCCTTGAAATACATTAAGAGCAACAGAATGAAGAACAGTGCAGTCACTTACTAGTTCATAGTTAAAGGTCTTCTTTTATAATAAAGAGACACAGTTGCTAGCAAAAATATACAAATGGAGCAGCAAGTCTAAAAGGACTCCTGGAATTCAACTAGAAGATAGTGGAGACTAAAAAGAGTGGATTATAATATATAAAGACACACTTGAGGCAACCATAGCCCTAGGTAGGAAGGCACAAGGTTTGCAATTAAGCATAAACAAACTGCAGCAAAAAGAATACCAAGGAAAATAAGATAGGATAGCTGGGTAAGTAAGACTGCTGTTTCTAAAATCCATTTCAGATGAAACAACTGTCTAAAAAGATCATGTTGAATAGGAATAAATGTATTCCAACTGTCATTTGCAGTGCAAAAATGTGCTTAGTAAGCACTTTCTCTTTCACACACTCTCTCTCTGTATCCATAACAGACAACAGTTTACAGAGAACTTATTTAAACAGAAGTTATAGCTGAGGCAGAAGTTTCCCTGTGTGCTGTATTCTCTAGTAAGTATGCATGAGCTCCTGTTGAATAAATCACTGGAACAAGTCCAGCAAGATTGTTGCCATTTGCCTATTCTGGGCCTATTGTAACATCTATTTATTTACAACATTTATAGACTTTCTTGCCCATCACTTTCTAGTGTGCAGAGTTTTATAACAGCCAATGTAGCCAGCATTACAGTCATCTGGATTTCCAGCAGTCTGTTAACTCCAACTGTCAGTCTACTGATCACCTTTATTGTACTGCTGGGACTAACTGTGAACCACAGTGATTCATTTTGTGGTCAGGCCAAGGGTGATCTGAGGGACACCCTCCTCCTCCTCCTCCTCCAGACACTAGTCCCTTCACCACAGAGACTTCTCTGAAAGCTTCTCTGAAATCTGACAAGGGTGCAACTGAGTATGAATGCTATCTGTTCTTACGAAAGAAATGGGCTCATGTAAGACCTGGAAGGGGCATTTACAGTTTCCAGTAAGTTCAGAGATATTAACTATGACTACAGAAAGCAGGCCTTAAACCTATGGGCTTCACCCAGGTTTAGTATAATACTTAAGAAAGTCCTCTTTCTTTATGGGAGAAATTTGTTAAGGAAATAAGCCTAGGGAGATCATAGATTCTTGAAAAGGTGGGCAGGCAACCACACTGTTTCAAATATATATATATTACTATGCCTCAAGACTGCAAATTAACTAGACACAACATGTCCAGCATCATGTAAATGAAAAATGCATTTCAACTGAAATACTCTTCCATAATGTGAACAGCAGCAGTACAGTGAATAGGACCCCTACCTCACATGCTTACAGAACATAATTATAAAGGGAAACGGGTACATATTTCAGAGCATGCAAGCAAATGATCCTTGCATGATGATCCTGATTCATTCCAGGTCTTCCTTCCAAACTCCAAAACGTGTAAAACATTTAATACATTGTATTCAAAGAACATGTGCCAATTTACCACCAACTGCATCCAGCCATTTGATCGACAAGTAACACCTTGCAAAACAGCGGGGACTTCAGCTCCGCTTCTCCAGGTTGGGGGGCGGGCGCGGAGGGCGCTCTCCTCTACACAAATGTGTTATCAAGTCTGGTTATTAGGTAAAGATAAGCACCTAAGAGAAGATACCACTTAATGCATTCATTCCTCCAACTTCGGGGAAGTCGATCTCATGCACTTAAGACTTTTTCGCCTCTTTTGGCAGGGGGTGGGGTGGAGAACGACCCATTTTTTGTCATCCGATGAAGAAGGCTCCTGCCGGGGAGGCTCCCTTCACAAACTGTTCCCCGGCCTTCCCATTCCTATATGGCTAACCAACGCACCCCCTCAACACACACACACATACACACACACCGCCTTTCCCGGAGTCTGTGGCAGCATCCTCTCTCTCCTTACCCAGATAGTGCCTCAGGTCCAGCAGAAAGTGAGGAGGGCCCCCGTTGAGCTGGTAGAAGAGGGAGCCGAGGCAGAAGAGCAGCAGGGCGGCCATGCAGAAGCCGTAGTCGCGGAGGGAAAGAAAAGGCAGCAGCGAGAGGGGCCTTCTCCGCTTCCAGCCCATTCCCTGCCCGGGACCCCCAGCGGAGGACGGGGCCCCATGAGGCCGGGGATCCGTGCAGCCCGCGCTGTAGTGCAGCTGCTGCTGCGGCGGCAGCTTCTTCTTCATCGTCGTCGTCCCCGTCGCTTCCTTCGCCGCCGTCTCCTGCTCAGACAGCCCGCCGGGAAGAGCGCATCCTCCATCCGCCTGCTCCGCTCCGACTGCCGACGTGAAGGAGGGGAAAAGTTCGCCGAAGGCTCAGGCGGCTTCTCTTCTGCCCATTGCCGGCTTCCCCGTGTCCTGGACGTCTCTAGGAGCAGCTACGGAAGGCGGTCACCATCCCCCTCGTACGCTGTTTGGCGGAGTAGCCGCTCCTCTTCCTTCGCCGCCGCTCTTCGCTCGCTCTCTCCTAGCAGCGTCGCGCTCCGGTATCAGGTTTCAGCTCGGGCCGGTGCCGCCAACTCGCCGCAAAAAGTTGTTTGCGTTGCTCGCTCTCGGCCCTGCCGCCGCCGCCGCTGCTGCTGCTGCCGCCGCTGCCGCCGCCCACCTCCTTCCAGCCCCCGAAAGGCTGCCCTTACTTGCCACAGCAGCGACCCCTAGGGGCGGCCGGCAGCTCGGCGTTCCTACACACAAAAAGGCTGCGGCGTGCACGGCTTACCCACACTTGCACAGCCCGCCCGTTTAGCACGAACCTCTCCCAAATGAACTCCGCCCCTTGGCGCCGCAGGCGTCATCGGGTTCCCTCTCCAATGGGCGCTGAAGAGCTGCTTTCGGCTTCTCGTTTCCCCTTATCACGTCGTCCGCGGCCGCTTTGTACGTTGCTTGCAAATGCAAAGCAAGTTTTGGAATTGGACAAGAGAAAGTGCGTTCAGGGTTACCTGTTGCAGCTCATGTGGGAAATTGCCATACAGTGGCTGTTAAAACGACTGCAAAGGATGCCCTCTTAAAGTCTCACTAAACGAAGGTAGTTTCACAATTTTTGTCAGGCAGCGTACCTAATGGGGATGTGAAACTAAATTTTCATATAAATTGCCTATTCATAACAAAACTGAGTGAAATGTTATTTATTCGTAGAACAATAACAATTTACGGTGGCTGAGCATCTCCCATATAAGAAGCAATCTCAATCACAGTGTTCTCAGCTTTCTATATATAAGATACCAAAGCAAACAGTGAAATCCTCTTTCCCAGTAGAAGTGGATACACATCTGGAAGAAATAGATTATTGTCCATTAGGCATGGAAAGCACCTTTGGAATTATGTAGGATCTCTAAAGCAGAAGAAAAACATTTACAAAATTAAAGGAAAAGATGCAATACATCAGGTTCAAACATTAAAGCATGTTTATGCTCAAATAACTGAGAAACTTTGAAGTGCAAGAAAATCAGCATGTTGTTTACCTATAATACCCAGTTAATTGTGTTCTTAGCCAAGATCCAAGCTCTCATCCCCCCCCCCCCCCTTTGGTACAAATTCTGTCCAGAGTCATGTACTTGGAGCAAAAATTATTACTTCCTTTAAGCATTACCAGATGTGTAACATAAAATTTAAAATCACAGAACTTCTAAAAGCCCATATCACCCTTTCTTTGGAAAGGGTCAGTGCAGCATTAAGTTTCTTATTTTTATTGCCATATTCCTGGGAGATACAAAATACCCATTTAGAAATCTCCAAACTTCAACTGAAAATTTAAATAAACATTTTCAATTAATGTAACCGGATTCCTTCAGTTAACTTTCTACTGTGTTGTCAATGCAAGGTAGTCAGCTGACATTTCACTAGCCACCTCAATGATCTATTCCTTTGTTTGTGACAAAATGCTCCAGTCAATATTGAGAAATCAGACTGACATTCAGTAAGTTTTCAAAGATGAGAGAAGGGAAATTCTAAATTCAATGAATATTGCCTGGAACAGTATCTCACCAACTGCTCTATGAACAGCAGCACCAGGAGGAGAAGCAGTAGCAGCAGCTCCTGCTTCTGCTGCTGCTTCACCAAGCAGGGACTGGGACTCTGCTTCCCTCATGGAGGCCATTACACCCAACTGTCTGTGAGCTGGATAGGAAGAAGGGTTAACCATGTCACCTGTAACCACTACTTAATTTTGCCACTGATTCATTAAGGCCCACTTCTGCTCACAGAGGCCATTCCACAAATTGTTCTATTCTTTCAGAAAGGAAAGTAAACATTAACATCACTTCAATAGGCTGTTCAAACAATTCTAATCTTCCTTCCTTATCCTTCATCCCTTCCTTGCCATGACTGCAATTTAGATTGTAAACCCAGTGCAGGGACTGTCATATCAATCTTATTTCTGAGAGTGGTCTAGGGGCCTTTTGCAGTAAACAGTGGGGTATACAGTCTGTAAATAAATAAAGACATTAGAGTGAAAACTAATGAAAATATTCAAAATAATATTCTGCATTTAAAGTAGAAACTTCAGGTTGACCCTGTATCCATTTTGAAAACAAGTTGGCGTGGAGAAAAATAATATATATAAAGTTGGTCACCAGTGCTGTTCAGGACTGCAATTGCTCAGTCTAGTTAGAGCAAATACACAAAGCATTAGCTTCACCTTTTATCACATTCTGCAAGCTGCTGTTCAGCCTCCTGTTCCAGACTGCATAGAGGGCCTTGTGGATATCTGTGGTTCTCTTCTTCAGACAGTCACCCTCCACGAACAGAGTGTTTTACCCATCTCATGCGTTTGCTTGAATGTCTGCATAGGGCTGCTGTGCTTTACTAATGCAAAGGAACAACAATCAGCACAATCAAGGTTGTAGAAAAGGATGCCTAGCCCACACGCCATTTCTCCTTCCAACTTGTCCTCCAACCTTGATGGCATGACTGACTTGATTGACTGTAGTCCTTTTGAGTCTCAAGATGCCTGTATGGAATACAAGGTCAATTAATGGGAAGGTATTTACTATTATTAACCTTAAAAAGGAAGAACACACCAACTTTGCTTGAATTATGGTGGATTAAGGGCTGTGTGAAAAACCTCTCCCAGATGTGTCCACCAAGTTGTAAGTCATAGAAACAAGCAGGACTTGCATCAAGAGCAAGTATTCTTGCACAATATGGCTTGCCAAGTTACTGACTGGCCAGCTACTCCATGAGGATATCTGTAAATTACCCAATGCATGTTGGTAAATAAAGTCCAAACAAATGCCAATCCTGAAATATTGCCACCCGTGTGACAGGTCAGCAGTTTAGACCAAGCACCCAATCACCTGGGTACTTTTTGGCTTAATATTTGTTTTGTGTACTGATAGCCAATTATCTTCTGTAGCAGAACTCTTAAGATGCATATCCAGGTAGGTTCAGCCAGCCAAGTAGCAAGAAACCTCCATGAGTTCAGCCACTGAGCCCTTTGCACATATTCTTCTGAATTATGTAACTATATTTTTTTCTGTTTATTTAGGCATCCCTTATGTTTTGAGGTTTTAGCTCAACCCTAAAATTAAATTAAAATTGGTGTCAAGCAGAGCAATTGTATGGTCTCTAGACATCATCCAAAATAATATGGCTTCCCTGATCCAAGTTCAGAGGCAGTTCGCCAGCCTCAGAGCTGGGAATCCATGCTCTGATCCCTCACAACCCATTCATAGCCATTGCATAAAGAACTGTATTGGCTGCCTCTCTGATGTAATGGAACCAGAAACTGTAAAGGGGGCATTCTGGGGAGGCAGAAAGGAAGATATGAGGAATCTCATTGGCAACATAGGCTCCTTCCATTTCCTTTTTGTAGTGTTTCATATAGACAGCAGTTTTTGGCTATCTAGGAGGTATATGACGCTGGAGATTGTCTCTACTGTTCCCTCATCTCTGTTCTGGGGCTTACAGGCATTGAAGGTGTAGTAATTAAGACAGTTCCTTGTGATCCCTTTCATCTTCACTCTCTCTGGTGCCTATTCCACATTTTCAGTGCCAGACCACTCTACGTCTTTTCTTGAACCACTCTATAATCTCTTTTGTCTAAATCACAAATAAATAAATGCATTCTGCATCTTTAGATCTCCCATTATACTACTGTTCAGTTGTGCTAAGTTGAATCTTGGAAACAGTAGCTGCATTTAAAGTGCATTGAAATGAATGGCACTTGAGTCCTTCATTAAGGACTTTTAACAGTAATCCCAATAGGATCTAAGCATGCTTATCTGTTATTTCTCTCTCCATCTTTCTTGCTTGCAGTCATACACTTATGCTTCCAGTGGTGTAGCTATCGTGGAATGTAAGTCTGTCACCACAATGAAGTAAAGCACAATTTTTAGTCTGTACTTGCATTTTATGGAAAATTGGATGGGAATTTTTAAAACATTAACACATGAACAAGCTTAAGAGTATGTCAGCATCAGCTGCTTTTCTCAAATATGTTCCAGAGCTACCCATAGCTATCCATATACTATCTTAAGCCTCTAGTTCTTCACAGGTACAAAGTTTTAAGTTTTAAACAACAGAAGCAACAGTCACCCAGTTAACACAAAATCAAGGGCTCTGGTTCACATGTTTTTAATTCAAATACAATAAATTCCAGAAATAACAGCACAATCATGATTTTATCACTGCCAGCTGGCATGACACATTCACCTAAAAAACATGTAATCTCTGAATAACTTAAGACAATGCTAAAGTATGTGTCTGAAACAGTAAAGTGAAAATACCATACTCACCTATCTGGGAGTAAGTCCCATTGAACTCAGACTTGCACCAACAAATCCCATGTTCTATGGATTAACCAGATATTATTTATTTATTTAGAGGACTTCTATGCCGCCCCATTCGCCAAAGCCTCAGGGCGGCTCACAATCACATAGATATCACAATCACATAGATATCACATCATACATGCCTGTTTAAGCCCATAATGTGCAGTTTGTAGCTGTTTTTCAGTGAGTTCATGGGGGAGGAGACTTGACATGAACCACTATCTATCCACTGCTTACCACCAAGTAATACCCTTTACCTGTATGACCCCCAGCCAATGTATACACCTCTGCTGCAAACTCAGGTTTAAATCAGTGTGTCTTCTGCCATCACATCTAGTTTAGCCCTACACCAGATGTGCACAACCTCAGGCTGTTTGGCATACTCCGGTTCCCAACACACCCTTCCTTGCCCTGATCCCTTCACCATAATTTCCAATACGGTAGTTTCTTAGCTTTTACACATATTCCTATTTCAAAATGCCTCTCCCAATGTTGACTAACTAGCAATAAGTGAGTCTAAAGTTAAAATATGCAAGTATTTTTAATTTCATTCATAATTGTGACAGCCCCCTTGAGAGGCTCTTTCAAACTGCATTTGGTCCTTAAACCGAAAAAGGTTCACAACCATTGCCCTACATCTTGACTTCAAAAACAGACCCTTTGTCTTTCCTATTTTTCACATTCCAGTTGAATCTCTCGTACATCCTGGGGGAAAATGTTCTAACCTGCTTTCTTCAACCAATGAATACCATTGAATAAAT